TTTTTTTTTCACTTTTTAAAAATCTTGTCGTATAAGTTAAAATATTAATAGTCTGTCATTATGGCAGTGCATTCCGTACAAACAACAAGTGGCGCATTTTTTTTCTTGCATATAGGGAATTGTAGTATCTCATACTGCACAGATTTCCTGCAGTATCTCTTCTACTGTCCTTTTACGCCCCAATTCTGGAGCAGCCTATATGCGGGGATCAATATGCTGAGCTGGGTTGATATTATTGCAATTAAAAGTTGCTTACTTCTCCGTTCCTCAATTGATTGGTTTCGATGGTTTGATTAAGCATTATCAGATGGCGTATAGTTTAGAATGCAATCTTGTTTTGGAATGCATGGCAGTTTAACTAGACGAAACGTTGGATATGTGTTGAAAACCAATTATTTTATGTAATACATGGTCAAAAATTTCCAGCTTAGTCCATTGTAAATGAAAATATATATTTTTTGTTTTTCTAGTCGAAGATGATCGAAGAAGCGGCGAGAGTAATCACACAAGATAATATCGAACTGACAACGAACTTCATTGTGAAAACAGCATGTGAAAAGGTTTGACTTTCTCGATACATGAATGATTTATCGATTGTTTGGACACTCGTGTAAACGCATTGCGTTTTGATGAACGAAAAACTACTAATCAGACACTTCTCGTGACTAAACTGTGAGTCAACAAGATGAATCAGTGCGCGAAGTGAACATTTTAGGCAGCAGCTGAGCTGGAGAAGCGGCTAGACCCCGAAGCGGCTCGTCGAGCTGCTATTCGTCGCGAAGGTGCTGAATGGCACGATACCACCATGGAAAAGATTCAGGCTGAATTGCCTTCTCGAATCGCTGTTCAAGTCGGTCCCACTCGTAAAGAGCACCTAGCCATCTACGAGCAGTTTAGCAGGTAAAATTTTGTGAGCTCTAATTGTCGAAAGACGTAATCATTGTCCAATTTCGTTTTTAGCCGAATCTGTGGTTTCAAACCGACAATCAGCGACGAGACGTCGGCAAATATGATGGAGACCGTAAATAGAGTTATGTCACTGCCAGAAACTGCCAAAGAAGTGGAACAACTCACTCAGCAGCTGAATAGTATCATCAAAGAAGTGGATATAACAATGCAGGCACAACCAAATCCAACAAATAAGGTTAGTTGATGAGGATGTTCAAAAGTTTCGCTTGGGTTTTTTGGGTGCTTATTTGATCATTACGACTCTAGAAGAATATTCAAGCAGTTTTTGCCTTTCTAGGCTTTTTGCTGTTACTCCGGAAGTCTGTTCGTAATGATTCAATATTCTTCTTATCCTATATCTAACATTTGTTTTTTTCTTCTGACTCTTAGATCAAGCATATTAAACCTCTGACTCTCACTGCGCCATTGATTTTCCTCTCTCTAGGCTTTCCAAGGAGTTGGAGCAATCCGAGATCTTTTGTCCCAATTAGCATCAAATCCACGAGATTCTATGACGGTTGTGAACTTGATCACAAGATCCGTGGAGCACCTCCTACATGCTTATCATGTTGACAGCACGTCGAAAGGTTAGGAACGCAGACCACTTTCCTTTCAAGCTAGGTGATTACATCATCAATTCCAGCTCTTGATGTTGAATGGGCGAGACGACTCCGCGACTTGTTTCTGGGTGTATGCCGTGTATTGCTGACACAGTTCACCCTAGTGGATTTGTCGCGACGTATTACTGGAAGTATTGTCAATGTTAGGATGGATTATAAGTGGAATGTGGAAGCGATTGAGGTCCGCTTAGGCGTTTGGTAAAGATTTTATATGTTCATATATATTATTTCAGGTGCTGCTTAAACATCAGCTGGTACAGAACCAAGTCTTCGATCAACACTTAGCACATGTCATGGATGGAGGTTCAAATATGGAGGCAACGTTGTTTGCGCAGAGGTTTTTCCGCCTTATTGGGTTCAACGATGCAGCTAGAGGACCGGTGATAAAAGAGGTACGGCTAGCTTTTACCCTTCTTATCAAATCATACGGAGCAGACTGGTTAGTCGTTCTATATTTTCACGTTTGCAGGCTTTCCCAGCAACTTATGAGCAACTCCTCAAGATCCAGCAAATGCAAGCCCTTCTACGCCAGCAAGCTGCTGCCGCTGGCAATGCAGAACCGAATCTTGACTCTCCTCTAGGACCAGCTGCTATGGATGCACTAGTTGCGGCCACGGCAGCACCAGGAATACCACCAGCAGTTCCGCCAGCAGCCGAAGAGCCTGGAATGTCTGACAAAGTGGAGATCATCTTGAGAGAATGGATTGGGCTCTGCTACACACCAATGGCTCAAAGAAATCCGAAAGAGGCCTTGTTCCAGATGATTGTTATGGTTGGTTTAGTCATTTTCAGTGTAATTCAATCTTCAATTGTGCTGCTTCAGATGCACGAACATGGAGTGTTGTCTGGTGATGAGAAGATCTCTCAGTTCATACGAATGTGCACGGAAATGTGTGTGGATGTTGCTTTGCGTCTGCTAAAAACTGATGCAAATGCTCCGGTTAGCCAGTCGAATATCGTGCGACAGAGATGTTACTACACGTTGGATGCTTTCGTCAAATTGATGGCGTAAGTAATTCTCAACATTTTTCTTTCCGGCAATTTCCAAGCTCCGATTATGTCTGTAAAATGAAAAGAAATTGTCAGAAGGTAAATTTTAGGCTCATGATCAAGTACTCTGATGGAGGGAGTGCGTCACCATCAGGCACGTCGAAGATAGCTCTGCTAAAGAAGGTTTTACACATCATCACTAGCGTCCTACATGTTGACCATGAAGTCCGAAGGCATGAATTCAATGCCATGCCATATCATAGAATTCTTATCACACTGTTTATCGAGCTGACCACACCTGACGGCTCGAATTTGGAATCGATTGCGTGGTCTATCATTGAGGCTTTTGGACAGGTATACATTGTTGATCTCTTAAGACATTTTAACACTGGCATTTGAAATTTAGAACGCTTTGTTTCTGTTGCAACCTCGCCGATGTCCAGCGTTTGCCTACGCTTGGCTAGACTTTGTTGGCCACAGGGCAGTGATTGGAGCTCTTCTTGGAGGTAAGAGCGAATGACTCTTTGTTTACGGCAACTGAATGGATCTATTCTAGGTAATGGCTTTGCTGAAAATGTTGATCCAATGAAGACGTCAGCTATGTACACACAGTTACTAATATGTCATCTCAAATTTCTCGCACCATTCTTAAGAAATATTCATTTGCCGAAATCGATTGCAGTGTTGTACAAAGGAACACTCAGGTGAGTAGTTTTTGAATATCTTTTTTCTTACTTTTTGATTCCAAATTGTTCAAAATTGGATTTTGAAACCGTCTTCTTTTAAATCTATTGTATGAGATAAAACGGCAATTTCACTTTGTTCTCTTTTGATGACTCATCTTACCAAGTTTATGACGTAATTTTGAGTTGGATTTTCTCATGGAAAGGGTTTGCAAACCAAACTTTCAATTCAAACCGTACTGCTTCTTATTTGATACCACATCATAAAAGGCCGATAAATGTTGGACATTTGACCGCTTGCGTTTTTTTTGTGCCAATGGTTTGTACGTATGAAAATGATTTGAGGGTGCTGCTGGTGATTCTCCATGATTTTCCTGAGCTTTTATGTGAGTATCACTATGTTATTATCGACACCATTCCGCCAAATTGCGTACAACTTCGAAATCTTGTCCTGTCTGCGTACCCACGCAATATGCGCCTGCCGGATCCGTTCGCGTTGAACTTTAAGGCAGGCTCTTTCTAAATAAATATTTCGAGTTCTGTTTATATTCATGATTCTGTTTCGAATGTTTCATGTTTCAGCAAGTGGACAGTATCCCAGAAATGGCGATCGAGCCAAAATCAAACTTGAATATGGCTTCAATCATCCCAGATTCTATCAGACTCCCCTTGGATGCGTACCTGAGGACAAGATCTGCCGTTGATTTCTTGTCAGCATTGCCTGGAATGCTCCAGGTTTGTTCTTGATTTTCGTTTTTCAGTGTATTCTTAGCAGAAGACTTTCAGATATCTGACAATCCTGGCTCGAAATATAACAGCACTGTGATGAATGCGATGGTGTTGTACGTTGGAATGAAGTCTGTTACATAATTGTAATTTCTCCATTTCATTAGATAAATGCAAGTTTTACAGGGCTATTGAAAGCCTGCATGAGCGTCGCCAACGCATTTCAATTTGCACGATTGCACATACAGCATTCATGGACATCTTCCAGAATCTAGCGGTGCAATTATGTACTGAAGGTACATTTTTTTGTTTGTTTTTTTGTTGAGAACTTGGGATTAAGCATAGGGTGTTTGTGAAAGCCAATATTTTTTTTTTATCAGGTCGCTATCTACTCTTCAACGCGATTGCCAATCAACTGCGATATCCGAATGCGCATACGCATTATTTCAGTTGTGTGTTCCTATTTTTGTTCTTGAATTCGGATCACGATGCGATTCAGGTGAG